TCAGGTGGCACTTGCTAAATTAGACACACTCATTTTTTTAAAAAGAGCACAGAAAGAATTTTAAGAAGCACAGAAGCTTTTTCCCCCTTCAGTTATCCTATACTGCACTACTATGGAGCAATTGTTCAGCAGAGATAAGTTACGGTGAAATATGTCTTTTTAGATAGCAAAATGCCCTCATGCTTTCAGGCAAGCTTTTCCAGAAGGTATCAGTACAACGCTTTCCGATTTCTAACTTGGGGCAATAACCTTTAATGTAATTCAAATAACAGGCCATAAAAAGAAGTAAGAAAAGGAAGGAAACTGTCTTTAGAAGTAGTCTTAGACTACTGTAATTCCAATTTGCCGCTGCTGCTGGATTCTGACATATAATATCAAGAGCACTATCAAGCAGCAAGGAGGAATCCAACGTGTTTGCCTTACAAACTGAAATGGGCTTTTTGCTTCTGACAATAATGGAGAAATCAGCCGATCTTTTGGAATAGAAATAGAAATAGCACCATTATTTATATGACCTGAAATTTACCTTTTTACCTCTCTCAAGAAGATATAGGCAAATGCTGTTCATTTATACGCTTGAGTAACCTCTTTTAAAACAACACTGGCATTATGCAGATTACATGAGCAGGGTTTTGTCAGAAGTCTACTTAGTGTTCATTGCCATGTAGTGGTCTTGGCTAGATTGACACACAGGAAAACCGTATCTGCAGGAGGCTGCAAAGACAGACAATTCTTAAATGGTTGAACAGCTTTGCAAAAAGCTGCATTCTCCTTAAATGAAATCTGGGAAGTGTCTTGCTAATTCAACTGTCTGGGGTAATTGTGGAGCCATCATCATGGCTCCTTCACACCACCATGTTCCTATACCAAAGGCATTCTCAGATAAAAACATTCTGTGCCAGCTACTCCGCCACTTGATTTTTGGGAACAACTGGGACAGAAAGAAATTAAGCCCCTGTGCTTTACCTTTATAATCAGGGAATTTTCCACTTGCTGATCAAGGAATGATTGTCAAGAAAAATTAAGACCAAAAGCCAGCTTTACATGTTGGCATGGGCAATGTATAGAACACAGGCTTTTAAATACTATTAAGCAGCAGTATAGCTTAACAAAATCAAAATAAAGCTAAAAACCTCAATTTGTGGTAATCCTGTTATGAAATCTTCATCGAGTCTGTATATTTAAAGGGTTACATATCGTATTGTGTTGTATTGTGTTATATTATATTACATACTGCTGCACTGCATAGAGGAACGTATTATTGAAACGATGACCTGTCAAAACGCAGGGTTACGATTTGACCACAAGGTGGGAGCATTGCTCATCACACGTACGCAGGGCACATCAGGATTTCTCTGTATGTTCTAGCTGTTTAAGATACAAATATCCTGTATATTTCTGTGCTATAACCTGCAAACGTGCATGTTACCACTAGAATAATAAGTTCCCAGGACAAACACAAAAAAAGAACCTTTTACTTGTCTGTAATTGCTAGCTGAAAAAGAATATTTGAGTAAACTGCATTTTGGTCCCTGGAACAAAGAGTTGCACTGAAGACTTTGCATTAACGCTGCAAAATCTTTTCCCAGTAGGAAAAAAAATAAGGAGGTGGTAGAGATAATCTGTGAAAGTGGTAATGGGGAGGAATAATTTTTTCATTTGTTGTCAGTTTTGTGAGCAGAAAAAAATTGCAAAAAAGAAAGTTTGTGAATGTAGATAAAAATTATTTCCATGTGACTGCTTACAATTTTCCATACAAAGTGTTGAAAAGCAACTATTTCACATGGGAAAATCAGGTTTTCCAAAATGGTTTAATAATGTTCTATCCCACAGGAAACATTTGATGAACTACTTGTGCTGATGATGTCTCTGATAGGGCTGTGTCTTTATGTGGGAAATGGCAGCCCTGTATCTCTTTTCTTGGAACTGAAAAAAAGGGAAGTGCTGAGTAACAAGCAGTATCTCCCACAGAAAAAAGCCAATAATATGAAGATTAGATTAACATGAGAAGGAGACTAGCCTACGTTCAAGAGACTTGCACAGGATTTTGAAGCAGTTAAGACCAGAATCTAAGGCATGACTGCAGCTTACATAGCCATCCTCAAGCTAGCTTTAAAGTAGTTGGCTTTGGTACAGACAGACTCAGTCATATGAAGCTCTTGCTAGACGCATACATAGTTCCTCGCTGTCTCAGCAAGCCTGATCCCTGTTTCTGGAGGCATGCCCCCTTAATTATTTTTGGGTAGCTTCAAGGTAACTCTGACACAAAAGCTACATTTCACACCTGTGACTACGGTGTAGACATGTAGCTTCAATGTCTTTGTGTCCACATGTGATAGTTATTCTGTGTGTCCCTGGCCACTTGGTTCCCCATGTAGTAGAAGGACAAATGTATTAGAAACATTTTGGCCTGTATGTATTCCAATAACAAGATATTACAATAACTTCCTTTGTGTATGCTTAAAAAGCAACTTGGACACAGATCCTGCAAAGATTTATGCAACATATGCTCCGCAGCTTTCTTGTCCGGGTGCAGGATGCCTGCGCAGTAGGACAGGGTAGCAGACTGACCTCAGTTGGGTGCAGGGCTCTAGCTGATGCTAATGGGTGGTGGTGAGAAAGCTGAAGCCCTCATGGTAAATCTACACAAATGGGCACCTGTTTAATACAAATACACCCCAGCTACAGACTGAACAGAGGCTGTAAAACCCAAGGACCCTTGACCCTGCAAAAAGTCCAGGCTGAGTTTCACCTACCAGCAAACTACATGTGGTGAGTGCATTATAGCTGTAACCTCAATCTTTCTAACTCCCCCGCTTAATCTTTTTTTCCCGCGTGTGAAATATCATGTACTGGCACGTGAGAAAGCATATGTTCGGGTAAACATTTCAGTAGACTGCAAACAGCTATATATTATCCATGGATAATGTTCCTTTCTCCACATCCCTCACATGCCTGGTAAGGAGATGTGCTCTGGAGTGAGTAATGGACAGAACAGGTTGTGCAGTATTTTTCAAAACAGAAGTGCCACCGTAGCACTTTCCTTTCTAAGGTGCATCATTCACAATTTTTCTCCTGATTTCTATCAATGAGATTGTTAGCTATAATCTGTCTCTACAGCATCTGAATGAAAAACATTCAGCCTACAAATTGTCCTTGCATGGTTACAGTTGCTTATTCACTGTAATCAACTGGTCCCGTTGTATTGGTCTTTTCCCTAAGGGTATGAGCAGAACATTTTCTTACAGGAGAACGAACAGACATTAAATAAATAACACCACACAAAGACTAGCAGCTTGCAAGGAACTAAATTCACACCCTCACTCTTCAAGTCAGCATGAACCATTCACTTCTTGGTCCTCTAGCCCAACTAAATAGGTGCCCCTAACCTTTCTGAGACCTTGAGAGTGCAGGCCTTCAAATGTAACGTGGTCCTCAAAGTTAGGGATTCCCGGGCAGCTCTCTTGGCTGGGCTGATGCTCCTGAGTCCTTCTAAAGAAGCCCCAGTCTTTCTGCATCCACCTGGTCCTTCCAGGGCTGCAGCCTTCCAGCACAGCCACTCCTCAGCCATCACCCACTGCAGTGGGGAGAGAAGCCATTCTGCCCGTTATTTCTTCTGGGGCCTTGATAGTTACATACAGCACTGCACATATTCATGAACACCTGAAGAGTCATGTGTTATTTGAGTATTTGTGCTTAATTTCTGCATGACCACAGAAAGAGTTGTGAATGGTACTTGTTCAAGACTGTTTTCCTGACAGACACTTAACTCAAGTGTGTAAATAATATGACCTCTTAACAAAATAATTGAATTTTCCTAAACAATTGTTGCTAAGGGGCCTCTTTAACAAAAGTACATATTTATGTGTCTGAAATTAATACAAGCTTCTAGATGAATTTTTCTACATTTTTAGTTGAGGTATCACATTTTCTTCTTATTTATCACTTTGCTAAAGCAATAGGAATTTTAAGTAATTTCTTGAAAGGAAGCAATAAAAGAAAACATAGTATCATTCTAAACTGCAGTACTTACTATGAGGTTGTCTTTCTTGACCATCAAAACAAAGTACTGTATTATTTACATTTAGGAATAGCTGTGTTTCAGTGGGTTTCACTGAGACATGCACAAAGAAAGCTCTAACATTTCTTTCCATTTATTTTGCTACCTAATACTTTAGCAATCGCTTTTGGAGCAGCATGGGTCCAGAGACTACCTCAGAGCCCTGTGGTACACAGCTGAGGAGGTGCAAAAGAGTAAACATGCCATAGACCTTACAGCTATTTTTCCACTTTGCTGGGGCTACTAAAACATCTGTGGACCTGCACTCTAGGCTCAGACTTGTTTGAAATTATTCCCAGATGCCCAAGAAACTGTCCTATGGCTTGGGATTGCTTCAGTTCAACAATGTTTCAGCAACATCCCTTTTATATAGCATCCTTCATAGGACCTCTATGCTGATGTGCTCACTTCCTGCTTGCTTCCCACACCTGTGGTTTGACAGTGCTTGGCAAATTCCCCCTCAGACAATAGTCAAGAAAGCTTTGTGTTTGTATTGGTGCAGGATAACATGCAATCATGAAAAACAGGGACACCTCGTGCAGATTTTTTCTTAGCTCTGTTTTTTTTGCATTTCCCATGCAGCCTGTCCTAACAGAAAGCAGAATACGGCCCAAAGAAAGTCAGAAGGATAGAACCTCACAAATCTGCATTTCCTAATAAGCAACTCTAATAATCCAGGATTTTCCTTGCAGACGCTGCACAAAAATTGATGGATAAGGCTTACCAACAGAACAACTAAGTGGTGCTAGGCATTATATGAAAGGGATGATTTTCCCCCAGAATGCCCCAATGGCTTTTGTCAAGTGTAATGACTGTTTCTGCTAACTCTGTTTCTGGTTACCACACAGTTTTTTGGTTTTAGAATAAACTGCGGATGTTTAGGAAACAATAGATTGCATATAAAAATGGGTGACAAAATGTAATAAAATGTTGCCCTTACCATCTGTTTTCTTTGATTCATCCCCCACACTAGACAGATCTTTTTTGTCCAACTTATTGTCTTCCTTTAATTCACCTAGAAAGAAGCAATTAGAAATGCTATAAGCATTTTAATGCAGACTGCAGTTTATTAACGCCTGTAACTCAATCAAATTGCAACATCCAAAGGAGATGTTCCTTAGGAGAAAAGGTCTGAATTCACAAGGAACTGGATTAACACATTTTCATAGAATAAAGCACCAGACAAAATTTATCCAACTCCTACAGAAAATCAAGCTTTACAATCTACTTTTAAATTTATTCTAATTGTTAACACCTTTTTAAGTGCACAGGCAAACTCATACTCCCTCTGGTTGTACATAGGCCATTAAAAACCTGAGCACAACCTTCATTTCAAAATCAGGACTCTGAAACATTTATGCTTTTAAAGGACTAAGACCCTGCAAGACTTCATCATAAGTCTCTGCATTAAAGAACCAACTTAGATATCCCAACAGTCCTATATAATTTTATCTTACTTTCTCTTATGAGTTTCCTTTATCCACAAATTCATTTGGGTTGCTCCTTTGATGACGGTCTCAGGGAACAAACAATCATCCTAGCGTTGATCACTGGCTTGAGAGTCTCTATAGCAAACCAGGAAAGCAAGGCCTTTGGCAGAGCAACGGTTGATGCAGAATGAAAATGGCAACTTGAGCTGGGGTGTATTTTATGAAGCCAGGAAGGTTAACCAGAGTCATTCTCATTTTCTGTCCTTTATTAGTCATACAGCAGAGCACATCAGACCTTCCCAGACCACCCCTTCATTGGATGAGAATGCCAAATGCAAGATCAAATGAAAAATAACTTATAGGGAGAGGTCTAGCAGAACAGGGCTCTTTCAGCTCCAGTGTCCAAACAGCAGCAAAGAAGGTGTCCTTCCTTCAGATGTCCAGAGAAGCAACAGCAGCCTGCCCAGGTGGGGGCAGGCAGCTTGTCCCTTCCCCCTGGAGGGGTAGCAGTGAACTTGTGACCCACACCTCAACACAAAAAGCTGTAAAAGTCTCACTTCAGAATCTTGTTAATGTGAGGTATGTTACAGGGCTGTATTAAAGTAATGCTTATTCCATTTGTATTACTATTTTTGTTACTACAACAACTTCACAGCCTCTGGATCAAGATTATAGGTATTATGTGTTAAAGATGATCTGATCTGCCTTCAAAATAGTCATGGCCAGTGGATACTTATTTTTGGAACTGCTCAAAAAAAGAGAAATTGTAGAGAAGCAAAGTCTCCCTCTTCCACAGTCGTGCCCTGACCACTAGAATATTTGTTATTCTTGGATGACAGAGAATTGATCTCTCTCTCCAATTAAGTTTCATTATAGCATAAAAGAGGAATGGTTTTCAAATATTAAAATATTTAACAAGATGGAAAAAACATGTCCTGTTCAATTCTCATTCAGAGCCAAAACTTCTCATTTTTTTCTTCCTAAGCTCACTGTGGGTGAGAGAAAAATGAAAGCAAGATGATACAGGACAAGCAGCAACCTCCTCAGCTGATCATATTGCCACTGACTTGGGCTCCTTGATCAGAGAGGTATGAGCAGCTCCAGGGAGAGTTGAGGCTTCTATTTGATGAAGGTGGCCTCTAAAAGAAGGACACTGTCTTCAGGAAATGAAATGAAAATGTATCTAGCAAAGCACAAAAGTCTTCTCGCATTTCCTCCACCATCGTATGGCTGATGGTAATGATGAGCTAATAATGCTTTGTTTGACCATTGCATAAAGAAGTTGCTTGACCCTAGGCGCATGCAGGAAAAGATGATGAACACCCACACATACGTTATTTCACAGTTTGATCTCTCCGAGAAAGCACACGGGCAGCGAGCGACTGAGAGAGACTTCAAACTCGTCTGACAACACAATTTCTGAACTTTCATTGAATGTAACTTATTATGAATAGGGGACTTTTGAGTATTGTAATATCTACCCTGCCATACTGCCAGCAGCAGAGCAGAATCATGATCATAATGATCTTTTTGAAAGGGATTACAAAGGCAGAGAAATAATAAGGCAAATACTTTACGATGAGATATTAACATATAGGCGTAAAGGAAGCTGTGGTGAACCAGAGATATGAATGTTAAGATTTCATCAGTCTCCAAAGGCTCTGCGGTGGTTGTACCTCATAAAGGCCTTTTCCCATAAATTAAGGAGCAGAATTTTTTTTCCTGAGGAAGACACTAATTTTCAGAAATCATTATAATTCCTTTCAAAGCATTTTTGACACCTGCAGCAGAGAGACATTGCAGAAAAAGGTACTGTCAAAGTCACTAGAGCACACTTAACCCCCGTATTGTTAGAAGCATGTAAAACAAAGGTTGACAGAAGAAAAGTCTGATGCAGTCTAGCTGGGATTTCATATGTCCCCAACCTTTTTGTCTCCTTGGGGGCCCCATTCCTATTCACCCATGTAACACTGCCCGAAGAAAAATCCCATACATAACAGAGCATGACAGCTCGGATCCCCATAGTCCTTCCAATCTAAAAAAAACCTAATGATGAAGGGATCGCTGGGAAAGGCCAGCAGCCAAGTCAAATACATGAGAATCATATCAGGAATGTTTTAAACAGGATTTCTGCCTCTGCTGCCATCTAAACTCACTGCCTGAGCCTAAGACTTTCAAGGCCTGTATGCTCACTCAGACTTTTTCTAAGAGGATGCTTCTGAGTCTGAGTTTTTTGCTGGTTTTGGACTGACTAATACTAGCCAAGTTTGTGACAAGTCACATGTGGCTGTACTGCCATTTTTTTATAACGGCTTCAGGGAGCAGGAGCTGGGGAGGGAAAGACAGTGAAATGGCCAAGAGACCACTGATCTGTTCTCATGGGTCTGATTTTTTTTTTTAATGTTTAATGCAATTTTCAAACATTTTTCCACCTTTTTTGGGTGCAAAATGTGATTCTTATTTTAACTCAGTTCTATAGCAAGTTGAAACACTGGAATAAAATTTCTGACAAGAAAAAAAAATCTCCATAAAAAGGCTTGTGACTGCCCTAATAAAAAAAATGAGCAAAGGAAGCATAAATAAAATAACTCTTAAAAACAGAGAGGGGGGAAAATCCTCTGTCCCAAAACATATTTATATCTGAGACTCAGTTCAAAGATACCTTTAATTGCCTTAAAAAGAGTTTATAAGCTAACTTTGGCTTTTCCTCTGTCCATTACCCAAGCAATGAAGCTGTTCATTGAACCAAAAATATTTGTTTCAGCTTTTAAGTGTGTATCGTAACAGGCTGCTTCATTTCCATGAGAAAAGTAATTTTTTCCTTTCCTCCAAAAGTGGCAAGCAGGTATGATGAACCCCATCGTTTATGGAAGAACACTACTTGGGAGTTAATTCACAGATTCCAGTTCCCACATGCGGGTGACTATGCCAACATCCAAAAGAGGCTCTGGGCCCAGGACATCCTTTTTCAGGACATCAGGTACCCCCATCACTGAGGTGAGATACTGGGTTTAGGGCTGGATTCACATTTCAGTGGAAGGAGAGAACTCACCGTTCTGGACATGCTGTTTCTCTTCTCCAACTGCATGATGACAGTCTGTTCCCTTATCTGTCCTAGGTGCGTTTTCCCCTTGAGAGGCTTCGTGTTTGTTCACCCCAGTTTGCCGAGTCCCATTTACATGATTTTTCTTGGAATCTGTGCTTTTGTTTTCCCCAGGATTTGGTTCTTTGCTGTTCTCTGTCTTTGCTGCTGTGGCATCTTCAGCTGGCTTCTTCTCATCCTTTTCATCTGTTTTCTTTTCATCTGTTCCCTGATGAGCATTTTCCTCTGCTTCTTTCTTAGCTTTTTCTTCTGCATCCTCAGCAAAGAGAGAAGCAAAATGAGAAAAGAAATCATGATTATCAGTCAATTTGACAAGAATGATACAACTCATACATCTAAATCTACTTCAGCTTTTTACATGCAAACAGCTTTTACTTAGATAAATGTAGGAATTGACTTGACAAGGGAAAAAGAGCACAGGAGAATATTTAAGAAAGTATTCTGAAAAAAAACACCCCACGTTGCCCTAAATGTACATTATGTGCATGTCCTTTTTTTACTATATAAGGTTCACCTTTGAAAATGTTCCTCAAAATTCTTAAAAGGCAAATTAAAAAGAGATATTAGCTATTGAAGGCTCTTGGGGTGCCAAGGTTAGTTTCATTTTTGACACACAACAATCAGTCAAACGACATTCAGTTTATCTCATACCGTACCATGTAACTCTAAGCACATAAAAAGTCTTGGTTCTTTGATACCTACTTTTTTTCTTTCTTGTTCCAGGTTGCTTCCAATGCCAGCTTCGTAATCTCTTTCCTTTCACTTACCGTTACCCTTTCTTTATGGCTCTGTCCTTTCTTGGCAGACTAATATATTGCTACTAGTACTTGCCCTTCCATCCCAAAAAGTCTTACAGTCAATCACAAATATGCAAAGGTATAAATTAAAAAGTGAGTGTTGAACAACAGCAGCATCTCAAAATATTGTCATTCCAAAAGAAAAGTTCACAGAGAAGCCAATTTCCCCCATTCAAGATACTGCTCTTGTTCTTATCCAAACCTTGGGTCCTGATGCAGCACTTACTTACAACATAGGTTGCAAATTACTTTGGCTCCAGGTGTTGAGACCACTACGTTTCTAGCCCAGGTCGGGTACAGCACACCCCCACAGACTCAGCTGCAAAGGCTCTGTGTGGCTTCCTGCGTCACACTGGAAAGCAGGACAGAACCACAGTCCCTCAGCGCAGTCCTCAAGCTAATAAACCCAGCTGGGTGCGCACAGACTCTGGGCAGAGACTCCATAATTTTCTCCCCCTTTTCCATGATAATAGAGAATAAATCTGTAAAAGCAGCTGAGTAGCTCAACACACACTCAGTTTGGAACCTGTAAGCTTATGCAGCTTCAGAGCATATCTATATCCATACCGAGTCTAAGCATTCAGATGTGACTGCCCTATGCCTGTATTCAAGACTTTTGGGTCTGCAATATCCCAGCCCACCCATCACCCCATCATGGACAACCAACTGCACTTTAATTGTGATAGGAATCACAAATAGATGTATCTCCTGGTTTCTGAGAGACCGTGTAAGCTGATGAACAGACAAACAGATCCTACAAAACAGTGAATAAAGTCTACCTTGGTCCTATGGAAGCATTCTTGACACCTGTAGGGAAGATGTTTTGCTCCTTACAGGAGCAGGGTCTTGGCCAGTGAATAAAAATTACAAAAGAATTTCTAAGTGTCTTGACAAATACTTCTTACGAGTGAATCAGAACTGGTTTTGAGAAAAATGTACCGGTGGGATACAAGAGAGAAAGGGGGAAAGCCGTCTTTATAAGAAATGCTAATCTATATTTCCTTGCCAGCAGCTAACTAAAGTTAATTAATTTATAAATTAATAAATTATGCTCACACAAAAATGTAATTAAATTAGATATGAGCCTCCCTCACTTTATTAATCGTTCCTGAAATCTATGGTAGCTTCCATAGATAGCTCAGCTATGCATGTTGATATTTTCCCTGGAGTCTCATGGTATACAGGATTCCTCTCATTTGGGGATCTGAAAAAAAATGCTGCATTTTGCACCTGAACCACAGGAGAGAGATTCGGCTCAGGAGACTGGGGCTTGCTACAGCACCATTGGACAAGTGCCTCTTGTCAAAATTAGTGTCAGAAAACACTTTATCTAAATGGTGCTTTGCACATCAGGGTGTTCAATTATTTCGGTTTTTTAATTTGTAGCTATTTAATGATGATCCTTTAAGCAAAAAGAGATCAGTAATAAACCTGCTTAATTTGCCCCCACAGTCCGAGAAATTTTCTATAAATACCACACTCAGGATAAAAACAGCTCATTGATGCTTCTAGGGACAACGCCATTACCAAAGGGAATACAGTATTCTACAAATCATTTAATAATAATAATAGTCATAGTAATAATAATAATAGATGGGTTTCCTTCCCTTCTGATCCCCAGTTGCTATTTGTTGTCAACCAACAGCTAAACGCTTTATCTGTCTTCTCTTAATAATTCTTATTTTTATTGGCAGAGCATCTTGATGCATTGCAAGACACCAGTTTGACGGGGGTCAGCAATTTAATATCCTGCTGTGCGGCCCGCCCTGCTGCATACGGCTAAGACAGGCAAGGCAGATGGAGCGGGGTGCAGAGACTTGCTGCAAGTCAGGAGCAAGACAGCAGCTGAGCAAAGGTTCTGATGCGAGGGCTCTGGAGTCAAGAACAGTTCCTTAGTCCCCAGCCCGTACAAAGGTATGCTGAGCCATACGTTTGTATAAATCCTTCAGGTTAAAAAAATATGCATGCACAAAGCACATTTAAAAGTTAAATAGCCAGAATCTATTATGATCGACTGTATATATTTGTTTTAGGTGAAATGTAAGATATGTTTTATTTATTTCCCCACAGGTCTCTCTTGCATATAGGATTTTTATCTAGTAGATCCCTAGCAGACAAGCAAATATGTACGGTACATGTTGAAATGAAATCCTTAAAACTAATTAACTGTATTGGCTTCATTCACTCAACGCTCCTATACTGTGAGACACTGACCATGTTAAATGCTTTGTTTGGTTGGTTAGCTTTAATTTGTTTGGTCCACAAAGAACCGTGAAATAGTAAATACCAATTAAAAAAAAAAAAAAAGCTAAGAAAAGCCCCTGGCAAATAAGCAGATTTTGAATTGTGTTTTTGTTTTCATTTTCATGGAATGCCTAGAAAGGCTCTTCCTGAATGGCAAGTTTTAATCACAAATGAAGATTTAATTTGAATAATAATGTGTGCTTTCCTGAACCTTTAGACAGGCCTTTCAGTCGAAGAGGACCAATCTGCTCTGGCAAATAGGAAAGCTACGCCAAATCTTCCATCAGCCCTGAAGCCAAGGCCACATAATACATTAAAATCGAACTTCTTCCATTTACATGAAATACAACAACTCCATTAAATAAGGGTTTGAGTAACAAGCATTCAGCTCAGAGAAGAAATTGTATCACAAACAGTTTCATGAAGAAAAAAAAAATTAATCAGTGATACATTCCTCCTTTTTTGGTTCCAAGGTTGGTCTAAATCACCCCAGGGCTCAAGGAGACCTTGGGCAATCTTCCAGCCCCTGAAGGCAAGGGGCAGTTATACCTAAGTCGTTTTCAACAGATGGCTCTCATTAGTTCCAAAAGATCTCCAACAATAGAGATTTGCCAATGTCTAACCTATTACCAGGTTATAATCACCTGCCAATTTTTTCTCCTCTTAACAGCCCAGGGTATTTGAATTAAAAAATAGTTCCCTTATTTTGCAGCTGCAGTAGTCTTCAGAAAACTGCTTTCAGCTATAAACCTTCTCAGCTATAAATGACAGTTATCATTTGCACTGCTGTACTCCGTATTGTCTACAACTGGTCCATATTTTTCCTGAACTGCAGTGGCCAAAACTGGACACAGCACTACTGTGGGGGCCTTATTACTGCTGGAAAGACGGGAAGAATGCCAGAGGGGTCTTAGAAGCAGGGTCTGTTTGGGGTTTTTTTGGTTTTGGGTTGGGTTTGGGGGAGGGGGGGGGTTCAATAGCATGACAATATTGAACCCTGGTCAACTTGCAACCAACACAGCCCTCATATTCTTCTGAAATATTTGCAGTCCCTCCTAGATTGACATCATCATGAGCATTTGCAGCATAGTTCCCAATTCATTATCCAAGTTATCACCAGAAATATGAAACCAGCTGTGAATCCAGAATATCCTGTCCTTCTCCCCTGAACTATCATCCGTACCTCTTTCAATCTTAACAGTGAACAACTGATAACCTACCTTTACAAATGCTGTTCCAGCTATTTTTGCACACACTCTGAGTCTGACTCATGACTTTAGGGGACCTCCCTCACAAATATTTTTTTTTCCTCCCATTGTCCACATCCTCTTCATTATGTACACTCACACCACGTAAGAAGAGTGTAAGGCACAGATGAGTCACAATGTTCCTATCTTTCTGAATTCAGTGTAGGTTGTTGACCTTGAAAAGCAGATTCTTTCAAACTAATAGTGCTTACTTGGAGAATAATTTGATTGAAGAAGAGCTTGAAGAAGAGGTCAAAAGAATTTTTATTCTTTCACTAAGAAGCCTGGCTGTTACCTTTGGTGGCTTGTGCTTTCCATTTCTCCCGGTTCTGCTGCACCACCTCAGTCCAGGTGGCTTTAAAACATTTGAAGTCCACAGTGAGTATGGAGCAGTTGAGTGAGGCACTTCCTTCCGACCCAGTGCTCTTGACACTTGATCTTTTAACTTCGGAGGGACTAATGCTATTCAGACTGGGACACAAGATCACAAAACACGGAAGAAATCAGTATCCCATACACCCAAATACAGCTAAGAAGAAATAACGACTGTAAGTCTAGATAACTTAACAGAGTCAACCAGGAAAAACAAAAACTAAGCTTGAATCCCTCATCTTCCCCTCCCTCCCTCCCTCCCACCCCAGGGCAACCGGTATTAAAGCAAACAGCACAACCTGAGCCAGTATTAGAAATAAAGGGCAGCCTTTCCCTGCTTATTTTTTGGTATGCATAGTCCCTAAGAAATAGAATCACTCAAAGTGTTGCCATTACCTTTGTTGTGCATCTTCACTCCCTAAATATTCATTGGAGAGTCAGACAATTCTAGAAATCAAATATGTCAAAGGAGGAGCCTCCTAAAATTCACTAATGGGAGCCATTAGGCACAGGACAGGAAGCCAACCTTTGTCCAGGGCTTGGTGAGCTCAGCTGAGGCTGAAATCAGGCACTCATTTCAGTTACAGACCCTACAGTTGTCTTTCAAGGATGAACACTTCATTGTGCACATTTTAATAAAGGCAGCAAGATAACTGACGTAGAAAGATATTAGTGCTTACTCTTTGTGTAACAGCCCAAGAGCAAAGAAGTCACTTGGGAGAGAGAATCCTGACTTGGTAGCTCTACTCGAGGGAGCACTAGCCACGTGGCATTTGAATCCCAAGACATGCCCTGTCCATGAAACTATTAAAAGAATAGTTTCTCTACAACAGCAGAGCAGGTTGAATGGGCCAAGACTCCTTACACCCGAACTCCAGGTGAATTCTGGTGGTACTTCACACATTTGTGCAACCCTAAATACTACCACTAAAGTGTGCTTATACTTCCCAGTCCTCTTTTGTATTTCAACCCATTTATACTTCTAGACATGAAGAAATGAGTGCCTCCCAATGACTCCCTCTACCTTCTCTTTGACATTAGTGACTGAGAGCACGCTAAAGTTCACCTGATTGCATGGCTACAACCATTTGTGCTCACTGCCTTTGGAGGCATGGCTCAGGTTCATGCCAGCCTCCCTCTTTGCCCTCCTCTGGGCTGGAGTTTCCCTGCAACAAAGTCACGTCACAAGGTGAGCTGTGGTGTTGGCAATGTGGTTATAGGGCTTTAAGTCACATGGAAGACATATACTGTGGAGATGAAACTGGGGGAGTTGGGTGCAGTGGCACCATGTGCAGAGTGAAGGGTGAGGGTGCATGGTTATTCACCTGGAACGCCTGAACCCGGACATGCCAGAGCGGGAAGCTTCATCAATGAGTGGTGTCACAATCTTCTCGGTCATGTCAGTCAGCACAGTAAAAGTGGGTTCCACAATGAAATCAATGAAACCTGAGCAGAAACACAAGCAGAGTCAAGCAGGCAAGAGGAGGATTTATGTGGAGTCACTGCTTCAGTGATCACAGACAACCACGCTGTAAAAGACAGAGTAAAAAAAAATATACCTTGAAAGAGGGATAGGCAAATACTAGAAAGGGAAAATGGAGCTATGCATTAATCCCAGACCCAAGAGCCTGGATATAGCATGCAATAAAAGGTACCTACTTAAACACTGGAAAGAAACTGTGGCAAATCAGAATGTAAACAGATGCATCAGAACTTGTTTTATACAAGGAGTGTGATATTTAAGCCAAATTCCTAGCGGATTTGGATAAAATGCAGTTTCAAAGATGAACTCTCTAAAAGCAGAAAATTAATATAACAGTAATAATACTGGTAAGCTTTGCTGGTTTGGAGTTACATGCACACCTCCCTTACTGCGTATCAGTGGGTTGCTGTGAATATTCTCTCCTCAGTGCTCGGCCAGCTTGTTCTTGTTGATAATAAAACACATTTAGATGCTTTTACCCCCATTTTTTAATATAAGGAAAGGAAAAAAATAAAGGGCCAAATAATTTCTACTTCAATATACAGTATACAGACATGAATACCGCTCTGATCCGAATGTTGGGAAGGGCAGACTGAAGGGCCCTGTGGCCATAAGCTCATGAGATGAAAGAAAATCCAAGTTGCACAGAAAAAATGTGAGAGTGAGAAGCTTATAGTACCTTACACCTTCCCCTAAATTCTCACCTGAGGCAAGGGCTATTTCTTATGTTCATTTTAGCACTTCACTTAGCAAATTTCTTAGTGCTGCTGGTAGCCAAGAAAACAATGATGTCCTTAATCCCT